TTTGTAAAATCAGGGTATAATATGTTTCTAATAGCACAGCTAGAGCTAGAAGTAGCAGCTACTTATACAAACTTTTTACTGGATAGCATTTTAGAGGTTTTAAATTCCAAATCTCTCCTCTTAGAGCTGAGAAATTCAAGCCCAGAAAGATTAAGTGACCTGTCCATTGTCTTAGTGGAAGAGATGCATTAAAATAAAGTTCTGATTCTTGCCTCACATTTTCCATTTAAAACACAGCTCAATGGATTTCCATGAAATTAAATAATATTGACACATAAGGACAGAACAATTTATCCTTTCATAATAAGAAAATTGTAAATACAGTACTTAGATGTTTCAAAATTAATAATTCCCAGGCAAAATATCCTAAAATTAACAACTCAACACAGATTTTGTGTTTGTCTCATGAACATGGTTTATATATCATATATTTATAGTTATATATTTGAAGCAAACAAATTATATTTCTTCACAGTGTTAATTACTTACTTTCCTCTACCTTGTTCATATTATTTATGTTATCTGAAGTGGTCTTCACTAGTGTCACCTTAAGGCATGACGTAATGAGATGATCAGTTTAGCTTTAACGATAGTACAAAAGGAGGGCAGAGCCCCAGAAAGCCTAGTAGTAGGGACTCCGGTCATCTATGTTGTCAGCTACTTGGATTATTATGACTACTTAATGTGAGAGCAATACTTAAAAGAAGAATTTTTGGCCAACAAAATAAAAGCCAGATCCATATGACCAATTATCTTTCCATTTGAAATCAGTACCAAAAATAAACAAAATATTGTGAGGAATACATACGCATTCTTCAGTGAAAGAATGGAGGAGAATGCTTACCAAGACTCTTAGATTGGTGAAACAATCGTGGCTCTCCAATGACAATATTCACAGTTTTGCCCAGGAACAGCTTTCATGGCAAAGTAATGAGAGCACATCATGGACTATCACTTCTCAATATCATGGGCCTTCATAATTTATCTAAGAAATAAAGGTATTTCTCCTCAGGAAAAGAGGAAAGAGATCTCCTGAGACTCAGTTTATCACTTAATCTGGCTGACCCATCCATTCCTACAGGTAGCAAGAGTAAGTCAATTTTCACTGCCATTATTCTGTGGGCCCAAAAGAGAGGGAGAGATCAATAGAAGATAGAAACAGGAATCCTTGAGTGACATCAGGAACTAAAAAATATCCTTCCAAGGAGGATGCTTATGCCAGGGTTGAGCATACAAAGCAATTCTGAAATGTCAACAAAGGTTAAACTTCCTGATGATTAGAAGAGAACTTACTTTTCTCAAAAGTGACTAATATTGGTTTGTGTTTTAATCCTAAATCATCAGATGATTAGCCTTCCTTCTTCTGACATCCCTGTAAGAAATTTTAGATGTGCTTAAATCCTCTATTTACCAGAACAACTTCATCCACTGTGGTGTGTAATTATGGAGCACTTTTCCATTTCAGAATCTTCTATGTATGGAATACTCTCCTATATACTGTCAGTATACAGAAAAATAGAATACACTAGCTCATAGAAAGTATCTGCCAGATGAGCTGCAACTCTTCATTGCATTCTCTTTAATGTGGTGAATAAATGACCTCATAAAGCAAGGTAAGCTCTTACAAGCAAAATATCAACATCATTAGTAAGTGAGAACACAATTAGAAAAACTTGCTACCAATAGTGTGAACACACTCTTCTGTTACAAAATGTCCTATTAACACATCTGAAATTCTCAAATTCAACTCTTCCAATGTTTTAAATGAAGTCTGATGTGTCTGGGTAACTTCTATCAAATACACTGACTTATTTTTTTAAATATATTTTATTGATTTTTTTCTAGAGAGGAAGGGAGAAGGATAGAGAGTTAGAAACATCGATTGGAGAGAAGCATTTATTAGCTGCCTCCTGCACACCCCCTACTGGGGATGTGCCTGCAACCAAGGTACATGCCCTTGACCGGAATCGAACCTGGGACCCTTCAGTCCCCAGGCCTTAATATTTGCATTGGGGCTCTTCTAGAAAAATAAAAGTCATGAATCAGAAAATTATTTTCTCCACTGTCTCAATTTAGGCTGAGCTTTAAATTAATATCTTCATAAAGTTATGAAAGACCCATATTTAGGTGCTATTCTTTGACTGACTTGGGACTATAGGTGAATGAGTGTGTCCTTCACACACTCATTATTTATTGGAGTTATTTCTGAAATTACAGTACTAAGTATCATAAGGGACAGTGTAAAGTTGGAGAAGTTCTTAACTATTTAATCAGTATTCAAAATGCCCCAAACGATTTCATGATATCCAAGTAAAATGAGTACATGCATATTATTTTCTTAAAGCATTATTAAATCAATAAAACATTAAACATGGATGCATATATAATGAGTGGGTGTTAGAAAGCAAATATTAAACATACGTAGTTTGAGCCAATAAGGAATTTCTCTGGAAAGAATAAATAATGTGGCTGGGGAGTAGGAGGGAAGTGGGAAGAAAGGGCAGATGAAAGCTTCCCTCTTTAATTGTATATAAATTGTGTTCAGAGACAGACAAATGCTCTCTATGCCCAAATTATGTAGTTCATCCCAAGTGTGCGGGCTCCTTTGCTCAGCAACACTGATAAGGACACTAATAGTTTAATTACAACTTGCTGCTCAAGAAGATAAACAAAGCTGTTTGCTTTTTAAGCCGGGGGTTACAATTACTTTAAACACCAGGGACAGACACATCTGCAAGTGGAGTTTACTGTCAGGAAATCACAGAACGCAGCTGGAAAATAAAGCCCCAGGAGTGAGCAGCCAGCGCAAAATTGGAGCAAAACCGGCTGATTTGAGCAGTGGAGTAGTAGGCGTGAGGCATAGTAAACAGATGACAAACGTTAAGTGGGCAGCGATAGGAAAGTTTTAGAGGCCAGATCATCCGCATTTTCAAGGGGATTCCATCACAGAGACTGAGCACCCCTCCCTCCGCTGTCAAGCTTACAATAAACTCAGTCACGAAGTCCTCTTCAGTACCACCGAGGAAGGACAGCTCCCTTAAACTAAGACCCAGCAGGGTCTGCCCTCCCTCCTTTACTACCTTACTACTGAATTTCTCTTTTGCTGGTGTCCTTCTGCACACTTTGCTTTTAGTGGTATTCTAAGGGACATATGAAAACGCCTGGGAGCTTGTTTGGCTTTTTTTTTTTTTCCTTCAGGCGAAAGGGAGACACATCCTTTCAGAAAAATCCATTCTTTTAATTGGCCACCAGAGAAATTTAACCAGAATAAAAGATTGCAAGTCGCTGGGTTTAATCTGGTGGCAAAATGTTTTCAGTAAATGAGTGGTAGCCAAAAACACTAAGGCAATATACCAGAGTGTATAGTAAACGAGTCAACAGAATAAGTCCTAATATCACTGGGTGGGAAAGTAATCTTGCTCTTGAAAGAAACTCTTTCCAGTCCTTTTCAAGACCCTTCACAACCCTATCCTTAATCTGGAACATACAACTAGAGGATTAACAGTTGCACAGTGAGACCTTTGGCTGTACAGCACACCACAAACACTGCCAACGCTTCCCCCAATAAAGTCCCTTTTCCCCCAGCCCCAATCCAGAAGCACACAGCGCAGGAGCAACAAGGAAACATTTGATTAGAAAACCAAAATCACCAAGACAAGAAAATTACACTTCAAGTAACTTGTCTACTTTGGCACTTCCGGTTACCATCCTTCCAGTCATAAAGATATTGCTGCTGAGCGAGCACATCTTGTTTCTCTATGCAGAGTTTTTCTTTTTTTGGTCCAAACTTCTTGATAGTATGTAAAATAGTCATAATTTGAAGGTCCTCTTTGCTACATCAGAGTGTGTGAGCAGGCGCGCACACACACTTTGATTCAGTTCCATTTTAAAGGGTTAGTTTCCTAGATAAAAGGTATCATTTGGTTTTTAAACTTTCTTTGAAGGAGGGTCTTCAGGGAAATGCCCTCCTTTTGCATGGAGCTACTGGAATACTAAGGGACTCTAGAAAGGAAGAGACACAGCTAGGGTGGAGGCTTAGCGGTCATTCAGAAAGGCAGCACTCTGAAGTTGGTGAACAACTTCTTCCCAGTGATAGTGAGCACAGACTAGTAAGGGGTGGGGGAGGGGTGTCTGTCCGTGACTCTGGAGCAGTAGCAGCAGTGGGGTCAGCAGACACTGGGTGCTTCTCAGGCAACCCTGAAAGATCTCAACTGAAGCAAGTTGACGATCTGAATCCCTTAGTCCTCTCTACTGCTTTATTTCTTCCTTCCTTCCCTTTCTTCTTTCCTTCTCTCCCTCCGCTACCTCAATTACCCTTTTCACTTAATTCTATCTGAGTCACTTTGGGTCCCAGTTCCAGTGACACCCAGTCAAATCACCTAACATGTACCCTGCAGACCATGATATTATTATGATGATCACAATGGTTGCTTGCCAACTGCTTGGTGCAAGGAAAAAGTCCTGTTCCCAGCTGTCAACCGCGCCCCCTGTCCCCACTCCAACAGCAGTGGTACCAACCTGGCAAAATCACCAGAGTCTGAATGTCACCAGCAAGTTCCACCCACCCTGGAGTAGCCCTGCCAGCAAACCTCACCAGCAGAGCCCACACCAGCGCACTGGCAACCTGACCCAGGTCTAGGTTATAACTATGGTCATTGTTATCAGTGACAGCACTCTTCCTGGAAAGGGGAACCCCGCGGGTGACTCCTGGGCAATGTAGGGCTCCATGCACTACCCTTCCCACCTCTGCAGCGCACGCGCGCGCGCGTGCAC